ATTGGTCATTCAACTTCAGTTGTAGTCGACTTGATTTTCAAACTTTTCTTAACGATGGAACCGATTCCATCCCTCACGTTTAAGTAAACTTGGTTCGGTCGGCATCGGACGTCGAAATCCAACTCGGCCACAAGACTCCTACTTTTTGATGTTTTTGCATGTATCGACAGCCACATCAACAATCACCGCAAGAAAAACACCACGAGCGAACAAAAGTTTCTTCAACAAAAAAAATAAATAATTTGTTGCCGTAATATACCCAAAACCCAAAGGCAATAAATTGTTAAGTTTATTGTCATAAAATCTATCATGAACAACGAATTCTTAAATCAGCCACGTCATGCGAAACTCGAGCTACAAAATTCATATATCGTCAGCATCTACTTCAATCGAAGCTAGGGGCGATTTCGACCTTACGGCGACCTTGAACATTGAAGAAGAGAAAGAGTACGTAGACTTTCGTACGACGATTGAAAGATTCCACCGTATTTCCAGCTCAAAACTGCGGTAAAAGAAAAGAAGCTCTTCGGAGAGAGAAGTCATGAGCGGGGCCCCACCGGAGCTTCGCAGATTTCGATCACTAGAGCACCAACGGCCAGGATCGCATCGCATCTCCCCACCAGCCTCCCGCTTGTGGGCCCCACACGCGTTCTGCGCCGCACACGTAAGCCCAGCCGACTTGAATCGAAAATGCCCAACCCCCCCCCCCCCCCCTCCGGCGAGCTGGGGACGGCCTCGCCTCCCTCCCTCCCTCCCTCGCTAGCCTCGACGCACGTGGCGGTGGGGCCCCCGTCAAGCGGGAACGCGTCGAGATCGGGACACGTGCGAGGGGGCCTCCGCGGCGGTCGGGATTCGGGGATTACGAGGACAGAACGGATGATGTCGACCCGGCCCGGGGGGGAGTGGCTGGCGCGGCCGCGCGCGAGAGAGAAGAGCTGTCAGACACCGTGCGTGCTGCTCGGCGGGCCCCGCTACGCGACGAAAACCAGTTCGACGCCAGCGACGTCGTTGCGACGGCACTAACGTCTGATGTGACGCGATGAACGCGGACGGCGTGGCCGCGCAAAGGGAAGGGAACAGCTGGAACATAGGATTCTGGTGCGCACGGTCGTTCTGTTCGTTCGTGAGATCTCTCCGCGAGCCGGGTTAAACGACTGCATCAGCTTTTGGCCGTGCGTACTCCACTACATGCATGCATGCATGCATGCTTTCGGTAACTCTGGTTGTTTCATTCATCCTATCCTTTTGTTTATGTAAAGAAATTAGCTAAGTTTTTAACTTTATTGTTCTTAAAAGATGAGAGCAAATGCTTCTTCTTCTTCTTCTTCTTCTTCTTCTTCTTCTTCTTCTTCTGCTCCTCTTTGGTTTTAAGTCCTCTCATTAGTGAAGTGTATTACTGGGAGGAGAGGATACGTTATTCTGAGCCATATTCTTTAACTTAGCCAGAGAAAAATGGCAAAATAAAGCATATAACCTTACAAAAGGAAACGACATAAAGTTTTCCAAAGTTATATCAGCAGAATAAACCCTAAACAAGTAATTATGGGCTCTCTCTCTCTCTCTCTCTCTCTCTCTCTCTCTCTCTCTCTCTCTCTCTCTCAAATGTGCCAAAAGACAACATGGCTCGGCTCACATGGCCCGTCCTCGTAAACTTCTCATCATTTAAGGCTCTCTCTCATCTCTCGTTCGCTTTTCACACACACGCCCCCAAAACAATATCGACCCAACTGCTTTTCATTGCCCTTTGCGTTTTCCTCTCCTTTCTTTCTGTCTCTGCAAATGAGAATGTCCATTAGATGCAGAACATTCTCTAGCAAGCCTAAGCCGCTGCGCAAGAGAAGACCCACGAGGCGAGCACCGCTGCCGCCGTCGTCAATGACCGCTCATGATTTAACAGTCCGGATGAAGGTGAAGAAGCTTCAGAAGCTGATTCCGGGAGGCCGAGAGTTGCAGCCGGATCGCCTTCTCTTGAGAACAGCTGATTACATCCTGCATTTGAGGTCTCAAGTCAATGTCTTGCAAGCTCTTTCCAAGCTTTACGATCACATATAACCCCATTAAGATGTGCATTGTACATCCCCCATTTCAACAAAGTCAGTTGTTTATCGTATTGTTGTTGCTTTTTCTTCGCCCATGTTCAAGGGGATATATATATTACGGTATGACATAAAAAGGGTCCATCCGTTGCAAAAACTCTGATGCTCTCTCCCTTTTTATTTGTGCAAATGTAAGTTGTTCATTCAATCATGAATTATATATTGTCTGGTTAATATTTCTTCCGGCTATACTCTTGTTATAATTGGTTTTGAATACGCGCTTTCTTGAATTTATGTTCTGACGAGCCCCTTCTACACTAAGAATAATAGAACTCACGTTTAATTTTATCCATTCATTTTTCTCTCGTTTTTAAATATTTACTCATATAAGTGCTCTCTTCTGTTCTTTTGTCCAAGAAGTTGCATTTCTAGGGTTTACTGTGCATCCTATATAGGACCTGGAAGCTTGTTCATTCGGTTCATGTCATTTTTATTCCTTTTTTTATAAGAATTCTTGATCTCAGGTATGTGGCTGAACAGGATATATTTTACTTCTTGGTCGAAGCTGAACAGGATAAGATTATGAGGTTATGCTTTTGGCAGACTTCAACTCGTTTAAGACTCTCTACCAAAAAACTTACATGCATGAATTTATAAGCTAAACAAGGTCATTTCGTTTATCCTTCCCCTCCTATATGCAACTTTCCTTTCTTTTTAGTCTCCTTCAATCTTCTTTTTGTGTGTGTGTGTGTGTGTGGGGGGGGGGGGGGGGGGGGTTTGGGGGTGGGGGGATGATCTGAGTCTTCTGTCTGTTCATGAGTTGAAATGCTAGGAGACTCCCAAAGTTGACATCGAATTTAGACGATTATGTAACTAGATTCCTATGTCATGCTATGTGTCGAAATCATTAGCAACACCCATTATCCAATCGATGGAGGAAAATCGTACTTGTGAACTCCAGCTTTGACATAAAACATCATCTACTGCAAGAATTTTGCAATTACAGCTGCAGTGTTCTTCGCTTACCTTTAGGCCTCTATGATATGCAAGTTTGGCCTATGCTTTTTGTGTCAGGCGAGATAGTTGAAGCGCATCTAACTATATGGTACCGCATATGGACCGCATTCTTGAATTTTCGATCATCTTTTGAAGATATTTTCGGTTTTCTCTTTTTTGCTTGAAGCCGCCTACATAAGCTTGTCCCCCCATGATACCCCAGCACAATTTGTTCCCTGGACACAGATCTTTCATACAGTTATGAATACCATAATAAATTGAGTCAACTTCTGGGTACTACTCTTAGAGCTTCTCTAATTGACAAATGCACTTTTGACACTGAGCTAATGAGTTTGATCTCTCCATTGTCTTTCCTTTTCTTGGGCTTAATCTAATGAGTTTCGTCTAGATAAAGAGACATGGGTACCGAGCATTATCATTTCTCCATTTTGTTCTTGACATCGGGCTGTTATTGTTCCTTTCACAATCGAGAAAGTTGGAATCGCAGAATTCTGGTTGCGAAGAAATGTGTCTTTAGTTGGAGTCTGCAATTTGTTTCCAAATTTGAATCGACGGGGATTTTTTGAGCTTATCTTTCTGTAATTTGATGCCTATCATTTGCCAAGAGAACTACACATGAAGTGATCATGCGACATCATGAAGAAGAACGAGAGGCATAGTCTTCTTCGGATGATGTACTTGAAGATGGGATTCATTGATCTTATTCAAGAGTCAAGGTAATATTTGTACTAACGTGCCTGATGCATAGCTAAAAGAAAGACCAGATTCCTCATTAAAATTAGAAATTCTTTGTTAAAATGTATGTGTAGATCAAGACAGCATTGAAGAATTGCATGTATTGCATGAAAGTGAGACGATTATGTTTGTATCAGCACATTTGAATTGATGATTTCAGTGGAGCAGATAGTTCGAAATCGCAGATTAAGAATCAACCGGAAATGGTGCATTCTAAGGCATGTAACGGTGATTCCATTTTTAAGATATCTTGAGAGATTTGTGATGGAACACCTAGCTTGTGCCTCAAGACTGAAGTCGTAGTCGCCATTAACATCGAGGTTCTCGTTTCCGTTTCATACTCTGACCTTAGTCATTGGAGGGAGAAACAGAGCAGAAATCATGATGCTAGGCGAATCGATTGTTATCTCCTTGCTTATTCTATGAAATTCCTGCTTCTTCTCTTTACAGACGTAAAACAAGGGATAATGGCAAGGGGGCACCGTGAACTTTTCGGATCTGTGCAATAATCCTCCCTGGACTGTTTTTCCGGCCGAGCCGGGTTCTCCAACTTTTTCAACTTGTGTCGATGTTAGTCCTTCCGTTGAGCACTAGGAACGGAAATGCCAATGGGGTAGTCAAATCCCCGTCGAATTAAAAGTACTGAAATTTGAGGGCAGAAGAATGAGTATCCAGATCTTTTAGCTTGTCTTTATCAAGATCCCTTTTGCCCAAAGAGGCCGAAAGTCGGAGAGCATTCACGCCTCCCGTGGGCCTGGATTGATCGAATTCAATTTCGAGAGAGCTGGAAGTGCCCGCAACTAATGGCACGTTTGGTTCGCACGAATTGCTGTATCCTTACTTCAAGAACTGTATAGAAATAGCTCTTCCTGTGAAATAGTCATTCCTTCGACATCATGAAACAATAATTATAATATTACGCGGAAACCCATCGGTGGTAGATTCTCATTGCAGCAAACAGCAAATAGACTCGATCGGGTCGGAGAAAGTGTCCATAGTTTCACCAAGTCCGGCCAATCATGAATCTTTCTACAATAGTTCAAGATTGGGAAACAAAGAGAATGCATAAGTTCAGTAGTTCTCTGATTGCATGAGTCCTCACAAGTCGCAACGCTGCAACCATTTACCATTGGTTTTGGATGTGCCAGATCAAGAGGGACCGACACGCGATGGCCCAATTAAAACATGAGACCCAGTAACATCCATGCTGCATTACTATAAAGATGCGTAGCTTATACGATGTATAAAATCATCCGCACCGTTTGAAATTTCCCAAAACTCTACACGAAAAATTTGTTTGGCCGTCTACGCCGACCATCATCGCATCGCCCAAGTAGCATGCTCATCGTCTCTTCTCGCGCATTATTTGGCCAAAACTGAACTGGATAGAAGATTTCATTTTCCTCTTTTTTCCAGGCTTTCTTTTCATCTTTCCTTTTGATATTGCAATTCCTTATATACATACATCTGAATAATGCCAAAATTAAATAGGGTAGACCATGCCTACCTGCAAAGTTGAGGCATGAGGCGCACTAAATGCGTTGGTGGGTGCCCTGCAATTTCTGCTCAAAAAGTCGTACCCTAAGTTAATTACCATCTTCCTAAAAAAGCTCGAACCTTGCTTCGCTCTCACGTACGAGTGTCCCAATATGTAGGAAACTCCAGCTTCCCTTGCTTCCATCAGTTCCCGCAGCTCGTCTCGTGCTTCCACATCAATCTTTGGACTCTCTGGCACGATAAACCGCACTCTCTTTTTCCTTGGCTTGATCAATGGCGGCGATCGTATCTCCCTCCTCGATGATCCTGCAACTCCAACATCATCAACATTGTCCTCGCTCATTTGAATCCCATCAGCATGGGTAGCAGAAGTTCCTACAACAGTCATTTTGTCCTCGTCCTTCAAGTTATCTTCATTTGCACCGCAGGGTCCTGCACTTCCAGTGCGTATAAACTCCGCAATGCTACAAACCAGATCATTTTCGAATTCCAAGTCGTCCTTGTGGATGTCCCTATATCCATACCGTACGATGCACCTATAGAGCCTAAACTCCCTGGGACCGATGCGGCCCACGAGAAACCGTTCCTCTGGCCTAACATGTGGAACAGGGACAGATTTAATGCAGAGAAACACTAGTACCTGATGAAAAGCTGGAAGATTGGTGACAAAATGGGAGAATATTGCAGGAATCCCCGACACGAGCTCTGTGTGGACTAACCCAATCCCCCGCACACGTACAATGCCGAGGCTGGGACCCAAGCTCATAAGCCAGTTGACAGAGACCCTGTTTTGAACATCGTACTCATACTTTTTGAGAGTGCCATAGTGCCAGATACACATCACAATAAGGAAGACGAATGCCAGGGCAATTGGTACCCATGCTCCTTCAAGGAACTTGACAAGAGAAGCGGAGAAGTAGAGCGCTTCAATTGTTCCAAAGAAAAATACGAACGCAATTGCGACCACAACGCTCTGATGCCAGCATAGGACGATGACTAGGGACATTAGACAGGTGGTAACCAACATAACCGTTATAACTGCCAAACCTGCTCCGGGAAAAAAGGCGCATCAATAACTCAATCAAAGCAACATCGAAATATCTTTAAAACAACAGATGAAGCCGCAATACTCAAGTTGAATAGCTCCACCCAGCAGATAATCAACTTAAGCATAAAAAATTTCAAATATGGTGGTTGGGGCTGATATTTTCCTCATACCTGATGCATTACCCAAGCTTTTTGTGTCTCTGAAACCAATAGTGACAGCCAAGCATAATACCATCAAGATCCAATTAATTTCTGGGATGTAAATCTGACCGTGAATTTTTGATGATGTATGCACAATTTTAACTCCTGGAAAGCAGCCCAGAGCAGAACACTGTTTAATAATTGAAAAGGTTCCGGTGATAATAGCTTGGCTGCCAACAACAGCAGCAAGTATGGCTATTCCCAGTACAGGCCATCTCAGTTTTTCTGGAAGCCAATTCAAAGTGACATTAGCGAGATAAAATTTACCCATCGTCCAAATTATTGCAGATAGAAGGGAAAGCTACCAACCTGGCACAGAAACATAAAACCCGATTCTGTAGTCAGTATCAACTACATGATGCTTAGATAGGTAGGCAGCTTGTCCCATGTATGCAAGAATCAGGGACGGATAAACCACAGAGGTGAATGCGATCTGCATGAAGTAAATAATGTTTGTCGATACATCTGTTCTCTGAACAGTAGTAGTAGTAAATCATTCATTATCAAGTTAGAGACTTTAGATACTATAATAGCAGGGGAACTGAAGGCTAATGGAGTATCTCACTGAATTCACACTCTGCAAACCTTGCCCAGAAAAGAAGGGTAAACATAATTGAAATTGGCATGCCTTTTTAAAGCACCATGGGAAGATGAATGTTCATTTAAGTCCAGTAGTTTAGACATAATGTGGATGAAACAAATGAGCCAATGAGTATTAATTATGGAAACTTTCACAGTTTGGCAATCACTTTCAAAGACAGCAAATGTTCACCCGCCTCTAGAAGGGGGGGCGGGATCACTGCAATTATACCATGTCAATAACAGATGCTCTACTTAGAAATTCGCCTCAAGAGCCAAAAACAAGTGGAGCAAGATAATTCAACTGTCTCCATCAGAGGTTAACGGCCACCTCAACTATCGTTGACCCATGTGAACAAGCACTGAAAACCATTTTAAATTATAAGACGACCTTTTCTTCATTTATCAACACAACTAAACTGACAGTAACAGATATAAAAGACAAGTTCTTACGAGTTATGTGAACACTTAAATCACAAGTACCTGAATTGACAGTTGGGAAAAGTGTCCAAGATCGGCAAACATAGCTTCAGAACCTGAAATTTCCAGGTTCTAGTAAATACTCGCTCTGTCAGTGAAAGAAAGAACAAGTAAACTCAAATGCAAATGCTCACCTGTTATACACAACAAGATCCCACCAAGGGACATCCAACCTCCCCGTTGAGTTTTCCTCAAGAATTTGTACATGTAATACGGAGACAGTGCTTGGTACACATGAGGATTCCAATGAAAAATATTGTATAAGCCTATGGCACTGATGCAGAAAAGCCATAGCACAACCACTGGAGCAAACAAGAATCCAACCCTGTGGGTACCGTAATGTTGAAGAGCAAACAAGCCTATTAGTATGACGCATGCAACCGGAACTTCTACATCTGCAAAACTGCCACACTTTCAGAAGGCAAAACAGACCAATCGCAAGCAACTAAAACCTAGCTGCTAATGCTGATATGCAGAGCAGAATGAAGCATTAGCCGAAATAATGTAATCATGAAGAAACTAGATCAAGAGGAACCAAGAAGATTGGCAGTCTAAAATTTCTCTTTTAATTAGAGTGCCTTGAAGAAGCACCACCATTCTTGGAGTTGGACCACATTTATAGTACCGCAAAATTTGCACAATGACAAGAACAGCAGAGCGAGCAAACAACCTCAATAAACCCTTTATTATTTGGACAACCTTCAATCCTTGTAAACCTCTGTGGACATGGAATAGAGGATCAATACAATGAACATACATGTTTCATCATAAGGTAATACTAGTGCATGGCAGCATTAGAAAATTAGCCAATAGGATCAAGCGACATTTGCAATGCTGGGATAACTATTCGTCATGCTCATCTTATCAACAGGAATAAGCAGGACTGTCCTAGTTCTCCAGAAGCCGGAAGGTAGCCGGTTTTGTCATAATATGAGTACCATTAAAGAGAAAAGTTACCACTGTTTCATAACCCACCCACACAGGGAGAAAAGGAAGGAAAAGAAAATAGAGGTAGTTGAAAACCTAATTCTGCGATACTGAGGTTGAAAAGAGATCCCAAATTAAAGGATTTAAAAGTTCCATGCCCAATGCTAGCATTTCATTGTAAAACTTAAAAAGAAGGCCTTAGTTGAAGGACTGCACATAAAAGCTAAAGTTTCCTAGCATTAGTCTGACTATTTCACCAGAACTCCAGAAAAGTATCTTCTAACTCAACACTTCTATAGATATAAAAACAGCTAATGAACCAGAAAATGCTGTTCTCAGTTCAAGTTGGTGAAAATTCAATTTTGCCATGAGGTTTAGAGCAATACTGATCATGCTGAGTTCCCGCTCATGCCCCCAGCCTACCTAATAATTTCTCCGATTCTCGAGCCAATCCGTGAAACTACCAAACTAATGTTACTTGCCAAGAGTAATGCTACGAGTACAGAGACTAAATAGAATGAGGATCTTACATTTGTGATGCTCCTTGGCAATCGAAAGTTCAAGACCCGACACCGCTGAAAATACTAAATCAAACAGAAAAGAAGTAATTCATCAGTCTCTACAGCACCATAATCCCAACTCTGATCCATAATTGAAACGAAATAATGCCAAAAATTCAAGGTTTGTCCCTGAATCCAGAAAGGCGGGAGCCAAAAGGGCGAAAATCTTCAAATTTTTTAACCTTCAGAACGGGGAAAAAGAAATCTCCTTAAATTTGACCAAATCGCCCATGAAATTCGACCAATCAGCTCCAATCAAGTCGGCCGCCGACTTGGAACTCAAAGTAAACCTCCCGAAAACCTCAATAAAATCCTAGACTTCGACGGGACAATCAAGCAATCACTTTCACTACCTGAAATAGACGGCGTGAGGACACCATCGCCAATCACCATGCAAGTCCCGATCAAGGCCAAGATGAGCAAGAGCCTCTGCAGCACCCGGCGCCTCTCCAGCGCCGACTTGAGCCTCGATCCGAAGCTCGTCTTCGGGGACGAGCCGGCGCCGTCCTTCTTGTAGTCGGAGAGCTCCTCGTCCGCCACCTGGCAGCTCGGCAGGAAGTTGACCCGGGCGTGCCGGCACAGCAGGGAGTAGAGAGCGAACGTGCCGCCCTCGCCGTTGTCGTCGGCCCTGAGCACGATGAAGACGTACTTGAGGAGGGGGACGAGGGTGAGCGTCCAGAACACGAAGGACAGGACGCCGAAGATCTCCTCGTTCGTCTCCGAGTGCTGGATGTCCTCCGCGAACGCGCTCTTGTACACGTACAGCGGCGACGTGCTCAGGTCGCCGTACACGACGCCGAGGCTCTGATACGCCAGCAGCAGCACCGACCTCCACGAAACTTTCTGTGCCACACAAGCAAAAATTAAAAAAAAAAAAAAAGCACAGCTCGAGATCAACATTACGGGACCGGCGATTGCACATTCCTGCCGTACCTGCTTCTGCTTGGCCTGATTCTGAGGAGGAGGAGGAGCTGCTGCTCCGGCTTCCGGATCCATGGCGAGCGGTGTCAAGCGAGGTCGAATAAGCGACGCGGAACCAGCGCCATGCTTTGTCCTTCTCTTTTGTATCGACTGAGGAGAACCGAAATCGAAGACGAACCTCCCCCAGAATGAGCGGAAACGGAGCAATACACTAATATATATATTACATATATAGAGAACGCTAACGCGAACGCACAGAGATATGCAGGAAAGTAGTGCTAAAAAAATGGAGGGGAACGCGATTGGGATGGTCAATCGGAAGACGACGAAGGAGAGGGCGCGTGCGGGCGGGCGTGCGTGCGTGCGTGCGTGGAGGAGTAGGGGGGGGGCAGTTCAACCACCGCCGCGGATCGGGTGGAAGCGACACGCGGGGAAAGGGACGAAAGAAGCTCGCCGCGAAACGCCTCACTCCCTCCCTCCTCGCTGCTGATACTCGCCCCAGTTGGGGAAAAAACTGCTCGGAAGCGTACTGAAAGAATTTGATTAGAGAAAGGAGGAGGAGAGGTGGTGCGTGCGGGACGGTGGGAACCCGGGATGATCGGCTCAGGGTGGGCAGGTTCCAGAAATCTGAAACCGACCTTATTATAATTAATTTTCAATTTTTAAAACCTGAAATTTATTTTATTTTTTTTGGAACCTACTCTATTTTTCTGGTCCGATTTCAGGCTCTGTCAGAGAACCTTTTTCTTTTATTCCTTTTTTCTTGTTTCATTTTTTCCAGCAAAATAATATGAGTAGCAATGAAACGATTCAAGATCAAATATGAATAATAAAAATCACTATCCGCCAAAAGCAATAATCCCTAAGATGAGCAATAAAAATTACTATTCATCAAAAGCAAGAATCCAAAATATAATAATAGTATGATCTACAGTTTTTTTTTTTTTAACACAAGCTATAAATCGGTTCCAAAACTAGTCCGGGTGGGTCTTCACTTGGAACCGAGAACCAGACCAGTTCCAACCGGTTCCCAAAAAATGGAACTAGTTCCCGGACCAGTTCAAACAGGAACCGGTTCCCGAACCTATTTTTCGGGTGGTTCGATCCGATTTCTGGATAAATCCAATCCAATTGCACACCCCTAATGGGAACTGAACTTGACAAGCTCGTATTTTTTCTGATTTTCGGCGATATTTTCTTCGTAAGGAGGATGGTAACTAACTGACTGGCGCGAGCGGCTTTTTTAGCGTAACAGCAATGTCACGTTGCGCTACGAATTCTTAAAAAAAATGAACCTCGCAATAATATGTAATTACTTATTATATAAATTTTTATGTTCCAAACAGGTTATTAATCTCACGATAAAATTAATAATGGTCGTTTAATCAATTAATCATTTTTCGTGCGGAGAGAAAGAGGGTGACGTGACGTGGTGAAACTAATCCGGTCGAGTTGATGCGTTTTCTGTAAAGAAACGTGGACGGTTTCGGCTTACACCTTCGTGTACAGGTCACACCTGTCCGTTTCAGCTTCCATCGAAACCGCACTCAAAGATTGGGGAGGGATAAAAAAATTTCAAAATTAAAAAATTTTGAGCGATGCCAGGCTGGAAGTGATTTGCTGAAATCGGTTTACTAAAAGCTCATCGGGTACTGCGAGATCATTTAAAAAAATTACCGAATATAAAGTAGATCGTATTCAAGAATTATTAATAATTCGACGTGTTGGTTTTGCAAGACGGTCTTGATCAGCGATTTTTCTTTCTTAAGAAATTAAATGTGCAAATTTTTTTTTTTGTGTGCGTTGACTTGGGTAGGAGATTAGTTTCGCGACGCACACGTCGAAACACCCAACCATGCAGTGTCAAAAAATGGCTAAATTCGGGGCTACTGCGGGTAGAGATTAGAGAGAACTGGGATTAGTTTTCTCACGTACTCTTAGGGAAACTTAAGAGATATCAAATGAAAATCTGAAATGAACCTTTTAGTAATTAATTTTCCGCAACCCTTTTAGCCACGAAAAAAATGACTATTTGATTTAGTACGGCTTTTGGCAACGAAGAAATTCAAATAAGTTGGCATGGATTTTTTAGCCTCGAAATTTTCATTGCAAAACGTTGGTTCTTTTGCCACGAAATAGAAGCCGTTGCCATTGAACGTCTTTTCATGGCGGAAAGCATGCTTTGGCCTATTAAAATTACTGAATTTTGTCGCTAAGATGTACCGCTGCAATCCTTTATCCACACCTTTTTCCGCCGCCAAATTTTACGCTTCTGACCACAAAATTCCAAAAATATATATAATTACGGTACTCAACCAATTTAATTTCAAACTAATTGATTGTGCAATTTAAACATAAACATTTTGATGATTTGCCAATGTAGTCATTCCGTAGTGGTCCAATCAACGCTGGTCATTTTATATGGTATGGCCACTATTAGACGTTAATGATTTTCTATATTTTTTCTTATTTTTTACAATGAAGGAAATAAAAGAAAAAAAATGAAAGAAAAGGCTATTCACAAAAAAAAATTAAAAAAAATGGAAAAATCATCAACGTCAGCTCCAGGCGTACCATGTAAGATAAGCTGTGTCCACGTCACCGATTTTCGATCAAAATTAGTCGAGATTGCTACATTAATAAATTACCAAAAAATTTAGGACTATATAGATGAAATCGAAATATTTATAATTAAACTAACCGTCACCGTTATTTCTTACCAAATTCCACGGGTCGTGAGTTTCACCGTCCCTGCTGTTCGTAGGGGGGAAGCGCACGCCTGCCCACTTGGACTGCCGAAGCTAGTAGTAGTCTCTAGAGATCTCATCTTCACTGCATTAAAAAAATTGACACCCAACCTAACCTAACAGGTACAAAAGAAATGGGCCACTTTTGGGAACAGCTACACCTAGAAAACGACTCGTTCGTGATAAGGGACGCAGCTTGGTTTATGAAAAGCAAGATCCATGATCATCATCAGATATTCTACTTCACATGTGATATCAAAACAAAACATAAAAAGAAGGAAAAACGAAAGTGGGGATAGCGCAAGCAAAAGCCCTTGACACAAAGGCTGTCGGTTCTTTTATAAAGTCGAAATGCCTTTTGCCGGAAGGAAAAGGAGAAAGAGAAAGGCTGATAAGTACTACACAATTGAGTTATCAGCTTTCGTTCCTAATGGCCTGCCTCTCTTAATCGGACTAAAACTACTGGCGGAGGCTCTCGCTAATCTCTCTACGCGGTGATCATGGTAATCTGGGCGAAAGATATGTGAAAAGGGAGTGAGACGCGCCCGTGTCTTTCGCGCAGTTGGTAATTTCGGATCACATTTTCAGCTATTCTTATATACTTGCGCATCCTTCTCGTTTTATCCTTCTTGATTAGTCATCGTAAGGTGTCGTCATGTCTCGGTCCGTAAGCGGACCGAACCGACTGTTACCGGCTCGACCCGATAAAATGATTACGCGAATACGGTCGCGTGACTTCTTTTTTGGCAGGTCATTATTGCATGAGCGAGTTGATTATGTTAAGTTGTACGCTCGGAATCACATTCGATGGCAAGAGGGGATTTCAATGCGTAGAAAGAAGAAAAGGAGCTCGACGGCTAACACCAGAAAGTAGTGGGGCGCTGAATCCCACTTGGTCCGCGCTTTTCGGCTTTTCGGCCATGGCGACAACGACAAGTGGCTCGGGCACCTCGGCTCTCTTGGCGCAACGTGCGCGCAGGAAGAAGGTTCTCGCAGGAAGTTCTGTCGATGAAGTAGTGTTGTGGGGAGGCACAAAGTGGGACGTGACTGGGTTCCTGGTTATGGAGATGTGAAGGACATACCCAGTTGACTATCCGAGGCCCTATTTTGTTCCGTGAAAAAATTAAATAATTTAAAAAATAATATTTCGTATCACTCGAAATAATTAATCAATAAAAAATATTTTCATTATCGATAATAATTTATGCCTAAATATTTTCATAGGCGATAAAAATATCTTTCGTCCGTTCATTCATTTTCAGGCAATAAAAACGATTATTTTTAGGTAAAATATTTTCTAGATCATTTATTTTTCTGCAAAATAAACACTCGTTGGTCGGCAATTGTCGCCGTCAAATCGAAATTATTGTCGGATTTTCTCCCGAAAAATTTGCGGCGTATTAGCTTATGGCATGATTGTTCGGGTATATGACCCAAATTGAATCGAACCATCAAGATCCCAAACTTTTTTCTTAATGCCCAAACCGAAATGGGACCCGATCCTACTTTTTTTTGGGGTCGGTTTAGGTTTTTTTGGCACCCCTAGTCTCCACCAGCCACCGCTCGTTATTGACGTCAATTGTGCCGCCACATCCCAGTGCCGTCTGCAGCACAACTTCGGCCCTCTCCAACCTTTGATCGCTTGTTGCTCTTTATTTGGTGCCCTCTCTATTACTGAAATTATATAGTTTTGGACGAAAAGAGGGTCTTTAAAAAAAGAGGAGTACGACTTCTCCCTCGCACACACGCTTCATCCCCGTAGACGAGGTCAGTGGCATCGAAACTAACTTGATGAAGGTCGTCTCAGAGAGAGAGAGAGAGAGACACACACACTGTATTCAGGGGTTGACCATGCCCAACAGGTGAGGCGGAGGTTCTCACGATGGCGAGCAGCAAAGACGACATAACAATCGATGGTACTTCAGTTCTAAATTTTTCAATTTGATCAACTTAATTTTAATTTTTTTTTAATAATTTGCCAATGTAATTCTTCTAGTTTTGGCCTTACTCACTGATGTGATCGTCCGGCTTGTTTGGGTTGTACTACATGACACGATCAGCATTGATGTTGACAAATTTTGTAATTTTTTTAAATATATTGAAATTTTTCTCTAATTTTCTTTCATTTTTCCTTTTTCCTTATTCCCTCTAGTCGCCAGGCACAGGTGAGGGTTGCTCTTACCAGCCAACGGTGAGAGTCGCCCTCATTGGATCTGGCAAGGGTCATGACGCCCGAAGCTGGCGAGAGCGTCACCGTCGCTTGTGGCCAACGACCTTAGGTAGCCATCGTCGAGGCCCCGGCAACCAGCAGAGAAAAACAAGAAAAAAGCAAAAAAAAATTGGAAAAAAAAGAAACATTCTAAAAAAATTTTAAGAATTGCAAAAATCATTTACGTTAGCGTCGGGAGTGTCACACGGGATGGATGTCGGCAACTGCCAGCCAAAATCGACCCGAACGACTAT